GTTTTGATCTAGCAAGTGTGTTTAAAGGTGAAAAGTATGCTACCATTATCCCCTCCTCTGCTTTTCATCTGTGGGGTCAATACCAGTTCTTCATATCAAACTGTTTCTGTTCTTAAATCATGACAAAATAATGAGACAAGAAATTTTGCAGATGGGGGTGGGTATAATTTGATAAACTGTGATGAGAATAGGATTTATTTGTAGACGGTGTGTTGTACCCGCAGTGTTACAGACGAGGCCAGAGACCGGATGGTAAAGTAAAGAGGAGATTTATTCCTGCAGCAGGGACCAACATTCATGGTTAGAATGCGGTGCATCAGGTACAACAGGTGTAGGTAATTTAGCCTCCTTTCTGACCTGTCTGCCTTTTCCCAACCATTTTCCCAGAGGTTTTGCAATGTTTTTCCCATTGTAAAAGACCAAAACCTCTCTTATGTATTGGGAGGAGGAACTTCAGGTATGCTAATAGTTTGGCCCTGAGCCTTTTGTCAGTGCTTCCTGAGATTCTGCTGGAAATTAAATTTGTCCTTTGGGCTGAAATAGGTTTCCCCACCCCTGCTATAAATCTTAGGAAAGACCTTGAGTTCTTTTCTTTTAAAAGGAAGTTTTCTTTTAAATTGGATATGGAATTAAGTTCATTGACATTCTTGGCAACTCTTTTATACACCCATACCAATATGGTTTGAAACTAGGTTTCGTAATCAAACAAGTATTATTGTCATGAATGAACTACATTATTATCAGAAAAGAACCACATCTGTAGGGAAAGGAGGATTGAGATACTGTTGGACCTTTGATATGTTTCATCTATTACGACTTCATGGACTGACTGGCTTGTTTTGGAGTTGGAAGCGCCGCATTGGAACAGATGTTGCTTTTCAAGATGTAAGAAGGTCATTGATCTATTTTGTGGGATATGTCCTACAGACTTGACCTATCCTTGAATACCCCATGCCCTGGGGAACTCTAGATGGATGATTGCCATGTGCTTTGTATACTGACAACCCATGCCCAGCTATCTGTTGGGCACATTGGTTCTTGTTTGCAGAAGAACCATCATCCTGTGGCTTATTGCCAGGGTGGGTTAGCATGATATGCAAACAGGCCCTGTAGGTTCTTTAATTGTGAAAAATGGGTCTTGAACTTCAGCAGAGATCTACGATATGGTGTGCTTTGCATATGATGCTTGCAGAGATTATCCTTATGATGGCTTATAAAGTAGGGTTTTCACTGAACATTTTAATTGGCTAGGAGATGCATGTGGTTATGAATGTAAAAATATTCTAGGCATTCTTCACCTGTAATCTTTCCCTTAGTGATCCATTTTAAGTATTCACAAGACTTTGATTATTCTTATTCTCTTAAAGTTTGTACAGCAATAAAATGATGGCATTCACTGTATATATATTGGTTCTTTTACCATGAAAAGACAAGGTTTTTCCCATGCAATTGTCCTGCCTCATTCACAGTAGTGTCTGAATGAAGATATCGTCAACTTGTCATCTTCCCATGTTTTTCAGCTACTTCATCTCTTGTTTCCCCATACCACAAAAAGTCTATCAAAGTAGGAAAAAGGATTTGAAAAAGTTTTGAAATGGATGAGGGTGAATAAATGGAAGTCTGATGGAGTAAGATGGAATTACTGTTCTGATACTCTTGGAGAAGGTGTTTAACTCAATCTGGGGTTACACTCCTTTTGAAGCAAAAGCACCCCTTCTAGCCAACTTCATTTGATATGTCAATTGCCTTCATTTGTTGAGAAGTTCATTTGTCTGACTCTGGTCATTCATGGCTTATCTCCATATTGGATCATGGTAATGCATTCTAGACAGCATACTAAAAAGCAGAGACATCACCCTGCCAACAAAAGTTCGTATAATCAAGGCTATGGCTTTCTCAGTTGCAATGTATGGCTGTGAAGCTGGACCATAAGGAAGGCTGAGCGCCAAAGAATTGAGGCCTTTGAATCGTGGTGCTGGAGGAGACTCCTGCGTGTCCCCTGGACCACAAAGTGATCAAATTGGTCAGTCCTAGAGGAGATCAACCCTGACTGCTCTTTAGAAGGCCAGGTAATGAAGATGAAACTCAAATACTTTGGCCACCTAATGAGAAGGAAAGACTCACTGGAGAGGACCCTAATGCTGAGAACAATTGACGGCAAAAGAAGAAGGGACAGCAGAAAATGAGGTGGCTAGATGGAGTCACTGAAGCAGCCAGCGTGAGCTTAAGTGGACTCTGGGGGATAGTGGAGGACAGGAAGGCCTGGAGGAATGTTGTCCATGGGGTCGTGATGGGTTGGGCACAACTTTGCGACTAACATAACATCAATGCATTCGGTGGTGCTTCCCTTGAATAAAGTCTAGACATTTAAATTGGTTTAAATACTGTTTTTAGGGCAGGGAGGATGAACGAAGGTATGTCAGTTTTGTGTGAGCTCTTATGACTATTGGTTAATTCAAGGTGCAGGATTTGTCATATCAAGCCGGAGATGGCTTGGAGCTTGGGTACCTTTGAAATAAACTCTTCCTATATGAATTTGCCTTGGATATTACTATTTTTGAGAACCTGTTTGCTTTATAAATCAATGGACATTCAGTTGGTGGAACTGAGAAAAAGTTCTGTTTTGATTGTGGTTGCCAGGTTATGGAATTACTTCTGCAAAATAATAATAATAAAAAATCTGTCTCCCTTCATTGTCCATTTTAAATCATTTTTTGAAGACAGTTTATTTCAAGTGAAATCTTTTTAAGTAGGTGGTGCTTTTAGACAATGTGTCTTTTGTATAAATAAATGAGGAAACAAAGCTCTCCTTCCTAATATAAAGACTACTTAATATATGGAATAAACACATGGGACACAGGTGAATAAGACGGGAAATGGTCTCTCATAATCTGTTGGTGAGGTAAAGTCTAGGGATCTTAATAATTGAGAAAACTGGTTGCAAAAGGGACTATGCAAACAACAAGCATGCATAGTGTAGTGAGTCAAAACTGGGATCGAGAAAGATGGATTGTGTTGTCTGCTTAAATTTAATAGTATCTACATTCTTTCATTTTTCAAACATGGTGCCACCAACTACCACTGTAGACTTCCCAAGATGCTTAGTTTATATTACCCTTTTTAATGGTAGCACTATCAGTAAGGCTAGATTTTAAGATAATAGGCAGATTCCTGCAAACTTTTATTTAATTGTGAAATTGTTTTTATCTATTTAGAATTGCCTTCATTTTGGTTAAAATCACGAATTGCCCAGTTTCCTTATATATTATTTCTGTAATTTAGTTATTTACATTGAAAACATTTAAGAACTATATGAATGTAACTTCAGAAGCTGCATAAAGTGATGTTCTGGCTACCTTTGGTTCTTAGCTGAAGTGTATCATAGAAGCTTTAGGTATGCACATTATGTGTGTGTGTGTTTGTATGTATGACATAAACAAAGCACATATCAGTTCACTCTGCTCTCTTTTTCAAGGAAGTCAGAAAATATTATACTGAGGTATATTTTACATCTTTCTTAAACTGTTACGTTGCAATTAATGTTGGTATACATGTTCAGGACTATATTCTGTGCTTGAGAATTGAAAATCAACTTAACCTACATATTTTCAAAGAGTGGGAAAATGGATGTTGAATAGATTGGGCTGAGGACATCTGAACTGACTTCTCTATAGCTCAAGAAATTATATGTTAGATATACTCTTAATTCATTATAGCTTTAGAATTTTTTCATGTATGTTGTATTTTGAATAGAGGGAGAGAAAGATTTGCTTGGTGCATTTGACATTCTGATTGGAAGGAAAGTTAGGGTTAAAATTCTGTAATCTAAATTCAATGGCTTCGTTTTTGCTAATTTTTAAGCTCTGAGCTTACTACTTCTGGGCTTCTTTAATTTTTTTTCCTGTTGCTAAATACCTTCCTGATCTTTGCGAATGGAACTTATTTCTACCTGAGCATGTCACACATACTTTTAGTCTCATCAAAAGAACATGCTGTTGAATGTAATCTAAAGTATTTTGATTAGTATTTTATTTCTTTAATTTGTCTTGAAATACTGCTGTAGAAAAAGAAAATGATTCTGTTGCTGATGCCGTATGAATGTGCATGCGTGTGTGCATGATACACACACACACAAATATTATTAAATAGTGTGCATTTAATAAAAGACAAGCTTTTCTTCCGTTCCCAATTATTAAAACAACAGATGCTTCCTGAGTATTTTTTGTCCTTTTAAAAGATTAGCTAAGCGTCCTTAAACTATAAGCTATGCCAAAGACTAGCTCTTTTAGATGCTTCCTGTAGAACAAGTACTCTTCAAAATTTATTCTAAATTGCGGGCAAACTTTCTTTGGCTATTGCTTATAGCTCAGATTTGCTGTAAAAAGTGTATTTAACGATTGTCCAAGTGAATAAGGATAAGAATGAATTGGGGGATCTCCCCCGGCTTAAATAATTCTCAAGATTTTCTGGTTCACGTGTAGTGATATTGAACTCTTTAGTCATAGGCTTTAATTTGTGCATGGTGCTGACCTGATGCTGTGCAGGGACACTCACTGCATCCCTTCATTCAATTCACTCTAATTATCACCAACTTCCTGGGGAGCCCGCTTAGATGGAACTGGCGGTGAATGTTTGTTGTTAAGTAGTAAGATATTAGGCTACCCTGGTTACATTTAACAAAGAAGTTTTAGGCTCTGAATTTACATATAGATTATCAATGTAACTCGTTCAAATTTGTATTGGTATTATTTGTCTACATACAAACCAAACTTAGCATAAAATGAAATTTATTATCATTGGTCTTTGTATGTACTAAAGTATGTGCCACTGTTTGTTATATATTATCCGTTTCCTTCCTTCTGGCTCTTATTTTGTGGGAATATTAAAATGGGAATTTTGTCAGGGTTTTTTATTCTTTAAACATCAACACTCAGGGAGCTTACTGGTAAAGTTATTTGCTGGCGCATGTGTGTTAAAATGTAGACATTTTGTCTTTTCAGGTCCATGTGAAAATGGCGGATGAAGCAGTCTGTGTTGGCCCAGCTCCCACTAGTAAAAGCTACCTCAACATGGATGCTATCATGGAAGCCATTAAAAAAACCCGGGCCCAAGCTGTGAGTCTGAATGAGTCTCTCCTCTGCAGCTGTTTCATATATAGAAGACAGAGAAGCTAGAGTTTGTATTTAAAGATAAAAAAGCAAGGGGGAGAATGATTGAATATGCTATTCCAGTTTAGTTCATGTCACATGAGTTAAATGTGGCCGAAATAGCTACTGGAAATCAAAGGCTTTTGTAGCATCTGGCAGTGCTGGTCGCTGATCCTGCAGGTGGCTGCTGGATTCAGCTTTCACACCAGGGAGCAGCTTCAGTTCATTTCCAAATTTGCTGGGGGGGGGGGGGGGGGGAGGAAATCCCAATTAGTTTAGAGCACTAACCCTTTCTGTGCCATAGCCTCTTGCTTAAGTCTTTTATAATATTATGGTAATTTTATTTTAATTATAATAGTTCTAAATTTTTGGAGTTAGCATGTGTGAGAATTTGCACACAGCTCATATGCACATAAAGGTAAATGGAGCTTCCAGAAATTATTTTTCATGGTTTCATGTTGCTGAAATAATACACAAAACTAGATAAGTATGTGCAAGCTAGTCCCTTCTTTTTCCAGTCCCTGAATTAGATCAGAGATACAAAGTTTAACAAGAATGATTGCTATTTTAAAAATGATGGAAAGAATACTTTTTGTGTTTTCATCAATCAATGTAAATGTGGTCATCAGAACTGCTGAATGCAAAAGCATCTTTAAATAAAATTCGATGGATGGGAGTCAGTCAACACCAGCAATTACCCTGGAGTGTCTCAATTAGCATTATCATTTCTTTTGAAATAAATGTTTCAGTATGGTGCATTTGGAAAGGGGGGATGATGGGGGGAAAAATGGCAAACAACATTAATTAGCTAACAGACACTGCAGATGTTTACATTGTTAGTTAAGAAGACTTAATGGGTGTAGAAATAGTTCAGGCTTTCATCTTTACTCTGTCACATATATTTCCTTAGCTGCATGTTTACATAAGATTACAAGCTATGCAAGTGACTTGTTTTGTTACTGTGTTCTGTGATTCCATGTTGTTTGTAGTGTAGAAAATTGCATACAAGATGCATTATTTTGGGTTTGGGGCATATGATATCTTCTTCCCTGATTTTCAGATTTTATATTTCTTCTGTTAACGTGTGGTTGCTAGCAATGTCACTAGCTGTACAGACAAATACTGTTTTTAACTTGAGGGTCAAGAAAATATTTTGGAGAGAAGAGTAGGGGGGAAAAGAGACAAACATAAAATGATGAAGAGAGAGAGGCTTCTCCTAAGACAAATCTAGCAAGGAAGAAATGCCAGAATTCTTTGGTATCAATAGAGGTGAACCCAAAGAATCAAAGTAAAGCAGATGCTTTCTCTGTATGTCTCAAGACTGTGCTTCTTGCCCAAGTTGGTCAATGTTAAGTGCATTGATTCCAGAGAATATATGCCAGGTTTTAGCATGTCAGAAAACTGTGCCTTGGGAGCATAGAAAACTTATTTAATAATCTTGAAGATATTGGTGAGTTGATTATATGTGATGTTGAGCATGTACAGCCACAAACTGGGAAGCTTTTTTATTTGTGTATTTGATTGAAATGATATGCTGCACTGCACATTTAAACCAGACCCAAGAGATGTAAAACAGGTAAAGCAGTTTTTATGTTATTAATGTAAGCTTTTCAGTTGTTCAAAGCTCTTTGTAAGATGGAGAATGGAAAGAAAACAATTTATCATGTACTTATTTTTACCCTTAAAAAGATTATTCAATAAAATATGATCCTTTTTCTGGAACAGTTCTTTATCTTGGAAAGTCAATGTAGCTGCTAGAAGTCATGATGTGATAGGATGTACTCACCTAACCAAGTATAGCTACATTTTAGTTACTGAAAGATATTTAAAGATGTTGGAAGTTATGAAATTTATTATTGGTGTTTATTTTTAAAGGTACACCCAGGATATGGATTCCTTTCAGAAAATAAAGAATTTTCTAGGTGCCTGGTAAGGTTTATTTTTAATGATATTCTGTTATGGGGAAAGCATGTCCATGTATATTTTTATCTACCTGCATGTTGTAAATGATATCTACCATGATTAATATATCACATATTAATTAATATATACAAGTTTTAATCACATTTTAAAACATTGTTACCCCTTCCATTCAATTGGTACAGGTAGCATACAAACAAAATCGCCAGGAATTATGACCCTTGTAGACCTGGCTGCTGAGTAGGCTACCATTTCCCATTTCCATCTGCCATATTTAGATGAATGAGGAAACCCAGTATTTCCTGCTTCTAGTGTGTATCCAGATTTTATTGGATAACACACCACATGGAGTGAAACTACTGCTGGAGCTCTGTCTCTAACATAAGACCCAAAGGCAACAGGGATCAGTTAAAAGCATCAATACATCCTTTTAATTCTTTCATGATATACTCATGACCTTGTTTTTCTTTTTGAAGCCATTTTGGTTCTCAAATACTGTGTATTTCTATAAGGCAAATGTTATGAAAAATGTACTGTGGGAAAAATGGACAATAGTGAATAGCATTTATTGATTTAAAATTTCTTTCACATTTGAAATGAAGTTTTTGCTTCTCTTCATGAGGCAAAGATGGGCTTTTAAAATGTTTGTCATATCTTTTTAATTAACTGTATTTATATGTAATAATTTGTTATTAATTGTAAATTTAATTATGGCTATCCACCACTGTTGAGGAATTGTGATCAAAGGCAGCTCACATACATTAAATAAATGGCGTGCTTTGTATATTTATTAAATTTAGTTGATGAATCAGTTAAAAGCTGTACATTCTTGCTTAGCAGTAAAATCAATGAAATAAATGGGACTTACAAAATAAACCATTGCAATGTTATATTATATCATAGTTGTTGTATTTGACAATTAAACAATCTGTAATGATTAGAAGTGTTTGAATAATCAGAATCTCATTGATCTCTACCACTGGATTATGAATAGGATCAAAAGAGTTGTGTGTGGACTCCTGCATGAGCAAAAATGAGCTTTTCTGGCTTCCTTCCCACTGCAGCCCTTGCCTCTTTCCCCGTTTCCATTATCCCTGGCTCCCAAAATTCAGGGGATTTCTAAATACACTACTGAGGGATTCAGTTGGAAGGAAAATTTAGTTGCTACTTGCTCCACAAGAAGAAATAGTTTCTGCTCATATATGGGGCTTTAAGGCCCAGCTGAGAACTCATGTGTTGGAATTTTATAGTTTGGAAACTGTTCAAAAAAATAACAAACCCCCCCAAAAACAATATTTATTACCATACAACAAGCAACTATGCAAGAGTAACTGATAACCATATACAAAATAAATAAAATTAAAGTATTTTTGGAGAAATAGCCTTATAGTCCAATAAATCTGTTCCATCAATTAAGAATGCAGTTCTATTTTGCATGAAAGAGATTGTTACATACTAATTTATAGGGTGCATTGATATTATAATGTGAGGATTAAAATAATTAAGAAGAAAAAGTCTAATGTAAAACCAGTGTTTTTAATCAAGTTACCATTTTTGTAATTAATGCATTTACTAAACAGAACTGCATACTAATTATTGTACAAACAATTAAAATATATCTGTTTGCAACTAAAGAATCCCTTTATACTATTTAAAAACCCAAAATCTTTAGTCATGGGACCCACATACCTTTTTATTTTACAGTTATGTGTATTAGACAGAAATGTGGACAATTATGAAAGTGCATTTCTCTTTAGTTTTCTGATCTCATTTAGTGTTCTTGGAAATGCACCTGAGGAGAAAGGCCATAATTTGAGAAGAGTTAGCTTACTGTATAGCACATGTAATTGCCTAGAATTTTCTAGAAACACAGGTTAATAGTCACTTGTCAAATCAGCATGTTTTCCTTGAAATGAAAAGTATAATTTATGCTATTTAATTGCTGGTAATATTAATAATTTGCTGCAATGATAAATGATGCACATTGTAATGCCTCTAAAGTCAAATATTGCTTTCTCCATGATTTCACAGAAAATTCAGGTTTAATTTAGTTTGTTTGATAAAGACTCAGACTGAGAGTTCAGAGAAAAATAGAGAAATACAAATGTTTGACTTACATTAAATTCAATTCATTAAATTTAAATTTAAACCATTATTTTAAAGTGGCAGCTACTATAACTGAAATCTTTATCAAACAAAGGCTTTGTTCTTTAAAATACAGGCTGCTATTCTCATGTGTTCTTATGGACCTAGAGTATTCCAAAATTTTCTTAGCTTTTTTTAGGTTATCTTTTCTAGGTTTTGATGCTATTCCAGAAATTTTCCAGAATGTGATTTTCAATCATGCTATTAAGAACCTGTTCAAGTAATTCAAGATCATATGGCTAGACCACATCAATTCATTAACCAGGTAGAATTGCATTAGGCTCCATAGGGAGTGTATATGCTGTTAGTATAGTGACTGCTGTTAAAACTGTAGTCCAGAGTAGTGTTTTTTTCCCCAACAAGCCTCCCTCCCTCCCTCCCTCTGGAGCAACTACCCTGTCAGACAGGCTCTTGTGGGCAGCACTCTAGCAGGGCAGGCCTTTTGCTGTACAGCAGGGCTCCTCAAACTTTTTAAACAGGGAGCCTGTTCGCTATCCCTCAGACTGTTGTGGGGCTGGACTATAGCTTGAAACTAATTGCTAAAGAAACCCTCAAAGAAACAACAAAAGTGATTGCGCCCACCCCCAACCTCATTTCTCAACAAGAAAGTGTGGAGCAGAAAATTTCACAAGAACCTCAGGCTGGCCAGCAGATGGAAGGGAAAAAAGCAGACCGGTTTAAATGAACAAGCCGACTTAATGCAAACAGAGGAATGCTTAGTGGGACTTAAAATGGATTTAAAAAGTTATATTTTTCTTACCTTCAATCCTTTCTAGCTTCTTCATCTCTCTCTCTCTTCCTGCCTCTTCTGTTTCCCTCTTTGTATTCCTGCTCTGTATATGCATGCAATGGGCGGGGGGAGCCGGCGCACACGCAGTTGAACTCTTACAATTTGGCACATGTGCCGGCTCTCTACTCAGTTTCAAAGAACGCCTGTGCTGGCTCAAAGCTTTTGGACTTGCTCAGAGATAATTTTCTCTGAGCAAGTCCAAAAGCTCTGATGCGGGCCAGATAAATGAGCATGGTGGGCTGTATCTGGCCCGTGGGCCGTAGTTTGAGGACCCATGCTATACAGTCTCCTTTCCTAAATTCTGCCACCAGTCTGCAATCACTGCCTAGCCCGTAGAATAGAAAATCTTCACAGCTTCTGCGACCAGATTAATGCTAGTTGTAGAATTGCTGCCAGAAGAATTGGCCTGTACCCCCACACCCTTCTATCCTAAGGAGGTACATGTCATTTGAAGCTTCTGGCATAACACGAGCATTTAGGTAAATGGGAAATTAGGGTATTTCTAAGTAAGCACCAAACTTCTAGGATCCAAATTAGAAAGAGTTTGTTAATAAAAATAAGGAAGGGTGAGTGGGTGAGGTAAGGGAGCAAAGAATGGAGTGAAATAAACAGCTAGCCTTGGAGGTAAATCAAGAAGAAAAAGAAGACCAAATATGAGATGGATTGAATCCATACAGGAATCCACAGCCATGGACTTAGGAGAGCTGAGTTGTCACGGAAGCTTTTCATTCATGGGATCACCACAAGCTGGAGATGACTTGATGGCATATAATTACAGAGGTAAATGGGCCATAGTATCCATTTGTTGGACTTGCAAGGATCCTCATCATGCCAGATGAAGACAGAACTAGTTAGGGACTATTGCAACATGTTCTTGGGTGATGGGAAGGTGATTGGTTAGGCTTCCTCAAGCTATCAGTTCAAGGGAAAGGTAACATGTATAGTATTGCCTGAGTGTCAGAAACCTAGGGTACCTTCAGAGATGGCACCTCTGGGCAGTTATTTATTTTGGTTAGACAAAAAGCTGATATGAGAAGTGGCTGTGATTTCCTTGCTTTTGGGCTAGGCTTTTTTTGTATCTAATCCCTTACCTGTGTGGATTTGCATGAAGTGAGCCAATTATGCCCTTGGCAGTCTTGAGGAAACAATCCTTGATACAATGTAGTTGTAAAGTGACAGACAAGGTGTATGCGGACAATCATGACAGCATTCTGTGCCATACTTTGCAGTATCAGTGAACGTTATGATGAGGCAACAATTGTGTGTTTTCCTAGTGACAAAGTATCCTCCTTTTGAGCAATGGGAGCAAGCAGTATCTCACAACAATAGCATGAATCTGAGGAAAGATATTGGGCTGTATGTAGCAGAGGAGTAGGAACTACACTTATATGGTATAAAAAGGCCATAAAATTATAAAGCACCATTTATTCAAAGCAGAGGGGTTTTTTATATCGAACTGTAAGATGCATTTTGTGTTTGATAGTTCATTTGAATCAACAAACACACTAGCAAAGCTCTTATTTGTTGCCTTCAAAGTTTTTAGAACAAACTGGTTTGTAACCTGTCTAATTAACTTTCATTATATAGTATCCATTTTTGCCTGCTTTACCAAGTATCTTTTTCTGTCCCCTAAATCTGGCATTTCTCATCAGTTTCTTTTCTTGGTTCTTGTCTTAGATTCAAGCCCCTAGCATTTTTCTCTGGTCTTTTTGCATCTCTAACCATATTGCTTATTTCCCATACTTCACTTTTGCCTCTCTTCTCTGTCCTGCCTTTGCTGTGTCTCCACTTTATCCATATTCTCTCCTTGCTCCAGTCAAACATTATTCTCTCTTCAATTTGTGGTACTGTTTTACTTTCCTAAGTCTCCTACTTTATTCTTTCTGCAAGTTGCTGTGAAAGAAAGGTGGTGGTGGTGGGGAATACAGATGGCGAACAAGCAGCTTGCCCATTGGTACAAAGAACCACAAAAATTTAAGCTGCGGCATGGACTCACTTTGTAGTCTTGTGCATGTCCTTGCAATAGTACATTGCAAACACAAAGTATTCTGTACCTGTTCAGTATCAAATCCTC